TGTGTGTGTGTGTGTGTGTGTGTGTGTGTGTGTGTGTGTGTGTGTGTAAGGGCTACCCTTCTGGGTGGCTCAACATGTGGATGAATGCCTTCCCAAGGCCAAAGAACTTACTGTGGTTTAGGCGCAGTGAGGAGAGGGCAGAGGTGAGAAAGGTGTAAGGGACCCTGAGAAATTAACTGTTAGCCTGAGTAGCTCAAGAGGAAAGAAACAACGCCCACCAGGGCCTTGGAGTCCGTGGGGTGGAGACGACCTGACCCTGTTGGTATTCAGGGTCACAGTCTTCAACCCATGCCAGCCCCCAACAGGCCCAGAACCTGCCACCCAACCCCAATCATCTAATGGTCTGGCATCCTCAAGGTACAGCCTGAAGTTAATTGCAACGACCATGAAATTGGGGTCGGGGAGACAAGACTATGCCCGGGTTTGCACGCGGGGCGCCATGGTCCCTATGGCAGCGGACAGACAGACGAGGCAGGAGGAGTTCAGCACACTCTGGAGGCTCCATCCTGCTTCCTTCGCAGACCAAAAGCCGACCGCGTGCCAGGTCGTGTTCAGTTTACAGTTCTATAGGATGGGGTCGTTTGTCATGCCCAGCTAAAGGGGGCGGAGTTCGCGCAGGCTCAGCACCCACAAGGGGCGCGCGGCGCGGTGCTGGGTGTGCATGGATGCTGGCTCCGGCCCTTTGAGGTCCGCGGGGCCTCTGCCGGGAAATATTCTCTCCTGCCGTCCACGAGGCCCCCACGGCGACGCCGGGCTTCTAGGCTCCTCGGCCGGGTGTGATCCCCCAGCCGGCAGCGGAGCGGTCGGTGGCCCAGAGCGGCGAAAGCGAGCCGAGGCCGCGGCTGCCCGGGCCCGCCTGACCCTCGAGGGGGTCGCTGTTGCCTCGCGGATCCCTCCCTCGCTCCCCGCTCGCGTCCCTCCCCGCTGCTCCCGCCGCGTCCGCCTTTTGTTCGCCGAGCCGCGCGCCCCCGAGCCGAGGCGGCGGGGCGGGGAGCTGGCGGGGCTGCGTGGGGGGCGGGCCGCGCCGGGCGGAGCCGGGGCCCTGGCCTCAGCCGGACTGGGAGTCCGAGGCGGCGATCGCCGAGCAGGCTGCAGTCGGGGTCCGGGCGCGCTCCGGGGGCGCGGCGAGGCGGAGGGGGCGGGCACCGGGCGGAGCCGGAGTCGGAGTCGCGGCGCCTGGAGGAGATCGGGCCGCGCGCTGCGAGCACCGAGTGGTGGAGAGGCCGCGCGGCGCGGGGCAGGGCCCGAGCGGAGCCCCCGGACACAGGAGACCGGAGCGCAGTCGCGGCCTGAGCGGCGGGAGCGCATCCGAGACCCGCCACAGGGACACCCAGGCCGGCCGCTCCCGGGCCATGCGCGCCGCTCGCTGAGACCCGGGGAGGCCGCGATGGAGGCGCCAGCGGGAGAGTCATCGGCGCGGGGCTACGGCCCCCCGCCTGCGCCCGCGCCGGCCGCGGAGAGGAAGAAGAGCCACCGCGCGCCATCGCCAGCCCGGCCCAAGGACGTGGCCGGCTGGTCTTTGGCCAAAGGCCGCCGCGGCACAGGCCCGGGCGCCGCTACAGCCTGTGGCGCCGCGTCCTCGGCGAGGCCCGACAAGAAGGGGCGCGCGGTGGCTCCCGGCACCCGGGGCGCGGGGCCGCGGGTGGCCGGGGTGCGCACGGGGGTCCGCGCCAAGGGCCGCCCTCGTCCGGGTACCGGGCCCCGCCCGCCGCCGCCGCCGCCCAGCCTCACGGACAGCAGCTCCGAGGTGTCGGACTGCGCGTCGGAGGAGGCGCGCCTGCTGGGCCTGGAGCTGGCGCTGAGCAGCGACGCCGAGTCTGCGGCGGGCGGCCCGGCGGGGACCCGCACCGGGCAGCCATCCCAGCCCGCGCCGTCGGGGCAGCAGCCTCCGCGGCCACCCGCCTCGCCGGATGAGCCGTCGGTGGCTGCATCGTCGGTGGGCAGCAGCCGCTTGCCACTCAGCGCCTCGCTAGCCTTCTCCGACCTCACCGAGGAGATGCTGGACTGTGGGCCCGGAGGCTTGGTACGGGAGCTGGAAGAGCTGCGTTCCGAGAACGACTATCTCAAGGTGGGGACCTAGGGGAAAAGGGGGAGTCGCAGGGGCAGGGGAGGACTGGTCATCCGGGCTCACAGCGGCCACAGGCGGCCACTTTAACGCTGACCAAGCAGGGAGAGTGCCCCACCTTCTCTTCCCACTCTTCTCGTGAGAGAGATTATGGATAAGACAGCGACAAAAGGACCCCGATGTGCACTTTCCCACCCGCGGTAAAACTGTTTTAGAGGATGCTCGGATGGGTGAGTGGGGATAGTCAGCCAGGGCTGACCTCCACTTTAAGCTGCCCAGGACCCCGCCCCCAGGTCAGCAGGCCTTCCCGTCTCTCTGTTCTGGAACCAATGTCCGTGTGCTGGGCTGCCAGGGAAACCGTGGCTATCCCCTGGCAAGGAGAGGCAGAACACATCCTAAGTCTTTACCCAGGGCTTCCCCGGCAGGCCTGTCCTCGCCTGCCTTTTGGGGCGGATCCAATTTGAAAGCGTGACATCTGGGAACATCCCCTTGGCTTGAGTCCACTTCCGCCCAGTCTAACGGTCCCACAGCCTGGGAGGATGATGTCGTGGGAGAACTGGTTCAGAGGCCACTTCCTCAATCCCAGGATATTGTCTTCTGTCCCCTCTGAGAGTGGCTTGGGCAGACTTGGCCCGTGCTCCCTGTGGGAAGAGGGAAACTGCCCTGCTGGTTAGGGGTATCCCCTCTCTGTGTGGGGGACTAGAGAGCTGTCTGGGAGAAACAGTCTGCTGTGACTGGGCACCTAGGTGCAGCCCGTGCTCTGGCTGCCTGTTCCTTGACATGGTGGCAGCTATGGGGACAGTCCTGCCTTGGCTTTTTGACCTTGGCATGGGAAGCTGGGATCTTCATGGGCTGTACTGCTACTGCTGGAAGATGCTGCAGTATTGTCTGTACTTGACAGTTGATAGCCTGGCACAGCACCCAGAATGGCCTGGACAGGAGCCACGGAGTTGACAGCTCTCTAATGACATGTCTGCCCTGCAGCACTTAACTGCATCTTGCTTCTACTGTCTGGGGGGTAGGGAGTGGGGTGGGGGTTCTTCTTCCTTAGGATGTTGGGTTGTTACTCTTGCTTTCCTTTTGGTCCTCTTTCCAGCATGTTCTCAGTAAGCTCCTGTACAGGAGAGGACACAGGTCTATCTGACAAAGGATCGTTTACCACCTGTTTGTAGGCTGGGCCTTCCCCAGGCCAGGCCTCCACTCTTTTTCAGTTAAATGGGAGTATAAGTCTTCACAAAAGTGTTACTCAGTGTTGACATTTGGGAGGTGGGGTTCAGTTAGCGGGTGGAGTCAGCAGTTGTAGTGGAGGGAGGGGATGAGGATGGAGATGACCTCCTGGGATGCTCCTAGTGGCTTCCTGAATTCCCAGCCTGAGCTACTCCAGACCTGGACCTGCGCAAATGAGGACAACTCAATAGCTCTTGGTTTGGTTTCTTCCTGTCCAGAGCCTGCCCCTTTTTCTGTGCTCTCAGGAAGTGATCAGATAGAGCCCCAAACTCCATCTAAAACCAGCTGTGAGGATACAGATGGGAAAGTGGTCCCAGGAGGCTGAGGGTTGAGTCCAGGTTCTCCTAGAGACCAGGACCCAGTTGAGTTCCAGTTCCAGGGCCAGACTGAACCTCAGTTGCTGCCATCCATTCGGTTGAGTCTTTGTGCACAAGCTTTGGGATCTGTAGCTTCCTGGCTGTGTGATCTTGGGCACATTACTTAGCATGTTTGGACCTGAGTTTTCTCATCTTAAGAATTAAACAAGTACACACAGATCATCCTTGAAGATTAAATGTGCACATAGCTGGAGCATTGGGCACTGTAGGAAACTTTAGATGCGGTGGCTGAGATCTGCTGCTCTCAGGATGGAGAACATGGTTCCTTGTGCATCTGTCACATGCTTTTGTGGATTCTGGGGCAGCAGGCGGGGGTCTTCTTCCTGACCTCAAATGCATTCATTCATTCATTCATTCACTCACTCACTCACTCACTCACTCACTGTTTGCTTAGAGCAGATTTTGGAAGATGACTGAACTAGGGAGAGCCTCAGTGAGACCAGAGTTAAACAATAGTCACAGTAAAACACAATGTGGCTGGTGATAAGGGTGAGATTCGGTGGAGGTGGGCCAGAGGACTCATGGAGGCCAGGAGCTGAGAGATGATGGAGCCGGCCGAACAAGGAGCTACAGTAAGAGCATTCTACGCTGAAGGAAGTTTGGCAAGTGAGGAAGGGGGCCATGTTGACTCACTGCATGCATCCGGGCAGTACCCATTCTACTCTGCAGGATTGTTTCCCACAGTGTCTGCCCTCACGGAGATACAGTGAAATCCCTGAGAGTGTGGACTGCACACTCACAGTGCAGCTTCTTACTGTAGGTGTTATTTTGTCACAGTGCCAGGGGCTGACTTAGCCAGAGCAGGAAGGGGACCTGCTCCAGGCAGCCAGGGCTGAGAGTAAGGGAGAAGCAGTCTCCTGAGTGTTTCCTGTTTCTCTAAACCACTTTATGTCTGAGGTACAGAAACTGGGTTAGAAGGAAAATGACTCCAAATCCCCAGTGTTTGCACTGCAGACTGACCTTATGAGTCCTGGGAATGCCCTGGACTCCAGCTGACTCTCTCTCGACTCCAACTGACTCTGGTCAGGTTCACCTCCCAATTTGTGTGTGTGCTAGGGGAGACGGGGTGTGGATAAACTGTCAACCAGGAAGGACCCTTGAGTAACTGCATATCTCCTGTCTCGGGAATCCCTACTCCACGACCTAAGTTAGAGAGGTAGGAGAATGTCAAGCCTCTGTCCATGATAAGATAGAAAGCACTTCTGCAGGGAAGGTAGTGAGCTTGATGTCACTTGAACTATGCAGAGAGAGGCCTGGATACAGGCATAGGGTTTGTGCAGAGCATCATGTCAATGGTTCTGAGTGTTGGTTGTGATCACTGGGGAGCAATTGGGGAAGTATGCTACAGTCTGACATTGGGTCCCTTCTAGTCAAGGTGTCTGGGGGTCATCCAGTAAGGTTTTCAGGACCCAGAAATACGACTTTAGCTGTAGAGCAACCAGGTTAACTGTGTTTGACTTTCACCCAGTGGTCTAAGGTCCCTGTGACCACTAACCGTTACCTATGTGCCATGTGGTATCTCCGAGTACTGGAACTCAAAGATCTGGCTCGGAGCCCTGATTCTACGTCTGCTGTGTGGTCATGGTCAAGTGGCTGGGCCTCTCTGAGATGCTCTTGTTTTTGTTTTGTTTTGTTTTTCATTTGTGTAATGGAGCTGACAGGGTGTGCCTGGACACTCTCCAAGGATTTTCTCAGTAATCGGGGAGATGTGAATAGTGAAGAAAATATCTGAAAGTGAGATCCCTGTGTCTCGTGAGGAACTGTTAGGATTTTGAGCCAATGAGCAGACAGGATGTCTGTGTGTTCATTCTTGGAGGAACTGGGAGGAGCCGGGAGGGCGTCCTCAGCCCTTGAGGGTTAATAAATGGAGTGCTGCTTCAGGCAGTGCAGAAAGGCAAGATCACATTTCCCACTGCACGGGTTGGCAGTGGGGTTGGCAGTGGGGAGCCACGACCCCTGCCTGGGGGTTCCAGCTGCAAGTCGTAGAAGCCACTCACGAGGTCCCAGAGAAAAGCCCTTACTGACTGGTGATTGCAAGCGGAGGCTCCAGGATTCTGTCGTACAGCCCACATTCCAACCTCGATGTTCAATTTTGGTCCAGTTCCTTCTGCCATGTGGCCAGTGAGATTGTGCTTTTGATCGCTACTGATGTGTCTGGTCTTGGATAGAGATTGGTGAGAGGAATCCTGTGGGCCAGGTGCCAGGCTAAGGTTTGTAGGCAGCCATGATGAGTAAACTCAGTCGGGGCAGTGTCTGCTCAGCATGCCCAAAGCCCTGGGTTCCACCCCTAGATCCTCATAAGCCAGGAATGCTGGAACAGGCTTGTAATTCTGGCATTTGGGAGGCACAGGAGGGCTCTCCTCGGCAATGTAGTAAGTTCAAGGCCAGCTTGGGCTAAGACTGAGTCTCAAAATACAAAAACCTAAAATGCTGATATCTATCTAAGCCTGTAGGTGGGGGTGTGCCTCTGGGAGGACCATGCCTGTAAGACAGGGGTTGGATTGTAAGACGGGGGGTGGGGGTGGGTGGGGGAGGGGATTGGATTGTCATGAACCTCTTTATTGTGAGGATGCGTATCCATTGCTCAGTAAATGTGCCAAACCAGTCACTGTCCTTTCCTAACGTTCCTCTCCTCCTCCCACCCTTCCTCTGACATGGCCCAAGTCTTCTGAATAGCAAGCCTCAGGCAGATCCTTCAAAGCTCCTAAGAGGTAGAGGAGGAGGGACCCAGCCTGTCATTATGTCAGCAAAGTCCCTTGGTTTCTGCCCTGAGTTGTAGCTCCTGGTTGAGGGGCAGGGCTTGGCAGTTGAGGGAGCAGCTCCAGCAGGATGGAAACTGTGGGCGGCAGCTGCTGTGGCCAGAGGAGACCACAAAGCTCAGTGGACTCTGCAAGGGGCCGGGCCTGTGTCCCTGGACACAGTCCTGTACACATAAACACATGTACACTTATTCAGAGATCAAGCCTAGAAACCCACAGCTACTCGTGTCTGCCTGGTGTATACATTCAGTGACTCACTTATGCTATATGCGTCCAGAAGCCAGCCTCTAGGCACGTTCACTATGGATCCACACGGAAAGTGATAGACCCTTCATACCACATGCTACCAAACCCAACACATATCAGCTGGAGAGTCCAGGCTGGGAAGCACATGTTTCTACACACAGCATGCAAACCCTCTCAGACATAGGAAGTCCCTATACATGTGAAGGTGTGCACATAAATGCACACAGACAGTATCTATACACACCAGCATCCCATGTAGGATCCCAGAGACTCATCCTTGTCAGGTGACACAGACACTGGCTCACCTCGGTACCCAGAGCTGTCCCTTCCTCAGAGAGCAAGCAACTTGTGCATATGCACCTGAGGTTCAACAGATCCGTGAGGACAGATACCC